ACTGTCACTGTTACTGTCACTGTTACTGTCACTGTCACTGTCACTGTTACCGTCACTGTGTCACTGTTACTGTCACTGTCTGTTCACTGTCACTGTTACTGTTACTTGTCACTGTCACTGTCACTGTTCACTGTTACTGTCACTGTCACTGTCACTGTCACTGTCACTGTTTACTGTCACTGTCACTGTTACTGTCACTGTCACTGTCACTGTTACTGTCGCCGTTACTGTCACTGTCACTGTTGCTGTCACTGTCACTGTCACTGTTACTGTTACTGTCACTGTCACTGTCACTGTCACTGTCACTGTTGCTGTCACTGTCACTGTTACTGTCACTGTCACTGTCACTGTCACTGTTACTGTCACTGTCACTGTTGCTGTTACTGTCACTGTCACTGTTACTGTCACTGTCACTGTTACTGTTACTGTCACTGTCACTGTTACTGTTACTGTCACTGTCACTGTACTGTTACTGTCACTGTCACTGTCACTGTCACTGTCACTGTCACTGTCACTGTCACTGTCACTGTTACTGTCACTGTCACTGTCACTGTCACTGTCACTGTCACTGTCACTGTCACTGTCGCTGTTACTGTCACTGTCACTGTCACTGTTACTGTCACTGTTACTGTCACTGTCACTGTCACTGTTACTGTCACTCACTGTCACTGTTACTGTCACTGTCACTGTTACTGTCACTGTTACTGTCACTGTCACTGTCACTGTCACTGTCACTGTCACTGTCACTGTCACTGTCACTGTTACTGTTACTGTCACTGTCACTGTTACTGTTACTGTCACTGTCACTGTTACTGTTACTGTCACTGTCACTGTCACTGTTACTGTCACTGTCACTGTCACTGTTACTGTCACTGTCACTGTCACTGTCACTGTCACTGTTACTGTTACTGTCACTGTCACTGTCACTGTTACTGTCACTGTCACTGTCACTGTCACTGTCACTGTCACTGTCACTGTTGCTGTCACTGTCACTGTCACTGTCACTGTCACTGTCACTGTCACTGTCACTGTCACTGTCACTGTTGCTGTCACTGTCACTGTCACTGTCACTGTCACTGTCACTGTTACTGTCACTGTTACTGTCACTGTTACTGTCACTCGTCACTGTTACTACTGTCACTGTCACTGTCATGTCACTGTCACTAACTGTCACTGTCACTGTCACTGTCACTGTCACTGTTGCTGTTACTGTTACTGTCACTGCCACTGTTACTGTTACTGTCACTGTTATTCGCTTACTGTCACTGCCACTGTCACTGTCACTGTGCTGTCGCTGTTGCTGTTGCTGTTGCTGTTACTGTCACTGTCGCTGTGACTGTGACTGTTACTGTTACTAACTTCTGATTGTTCTTTTCTTAATTCAGATAGCTGATGAAGATATAGGTTTTAGTAATAGAATTGTTGCATAAGTTTTGAAATATGTTTTGTAAATAGATCAATGTTTTATTATTGATATTTGAGACTATCAACTGAGATTGTTAGTGGCTGTATCCTCAAAGGGGGTTAAAGTACTGTAACATTATTGTCGTCCTGCGAGGATAAGTAAGTCCCCAACCCTTCAAAGTACATTTCAACCTACCAGAATTTTTAAATGTAGCATTTGTGTGATTTAAACTATGGCTTCACTTTCCTACAATCGCCAGCGGCTGAAGGGATGGTATAAATCCAGCTGAGGTCCATGCAGGTAGCAAAGGCATTGTAAGTCCCACTGGTCCCAAATATGGTGATCTACCTTCGGTTGATGACGATTTATAGCCCGTTTTCTATATTGTACTGTCCAAATTTGAAATCAAGTTTTAGAGATAGATACTAGTTTTATTTTTTGTGTCTGTGATATTCTAGTTGGTTTTATTGTCCTTCGTTGACAGGCTTTTAGTGATTTACATGTATTTATGATGAAGTTACAAACTTGTTTTAGTCACGATATGGGTGAAATATTGCCGATGTGACTTTAAATTTTTACTCACTCGCTCACTCACTCATAGGTTTTAGTTTGGTTACAAGGACAAATAATCATATCTTTTACTGTAGAAGTACATGAACATGCACACACTCATGGAACTATATATTTTGTCCGCGATACAGTCAAAGGAAAAGCAAGTTCTATGGATAGTCAACTACGTTTTTGCAATGAGTGCGACATTTCGGTGTAGGTACTAACATCGTTATCAGGCAACGTCGTACGTATTGGAATATGAAATATGAAACGAGGGCAATTATAATTTAGCAATGGTCTTCATAAACGATGTTTTCCCCTAAGTAACGTGTCAAGTTGGGGCACGGTTTGTTCAAACAAGTTGATCGAATAGCTATGACAGCTGCCAAATGTGGATAGCGGAGTCTCATTCCTGACAGCCTTGTCAGATAATATCAGGCATGATGATTGGGAAAATACTGCTTACTCGCGTGGTGAAAATGTCCAGTTGTGTAACACAATACTTACTGATGCCTAATGTCTATATCACATTGCTTAATCATTAGAAAAAGATCATAAGCTCTTGAAACAGTTCTTGCAGTCATTAAAACATCTGTTGACCTATCTTACGTGATTATGCTTTACTTGGCATTTCTCGTCATTCATTTAAAGGAGCTTGGATAACATTTCAATCTGGAGAAAAGTACAGTGTTGTTCAGTTGAATAGTTAATACTATTACATATACTATATCAGGTTATTCAACTTTCCCGGTGCCGATTAATGAGATATCGTTTTAGACAGATGTTAAGGCTTCTGGCATTTATTTCACCACGTATTTTCAAACTATGGATCGGCTTTCGTTTATTTTCGTGACGCACTAGTTACCTGATTTATTTGCAAGGTTGCGGCTTTGCCTGAGCTCGTGCTAGCATATCACTGTCAGCAGCCACTGTATTTCTAACCAAAGATTTACTTGCAACAGTCAGTATGCATATATCTGAACGATAGCTTTGTGGACAGTAAGAGCTAATTCGGTGTACATATGACATTCATGCCAAGGGACACATGACCTTATAAACTAATACCATATACAATGTACCTTGTTAACGTGCATATTACCTTATAAACTAATACCATATACAATGTACCTTGTTAACGTGCATATTACCTTATAAACTAATACCATATACAATGTACCTTGTTAACGTGCATATTACTTTATAAACTAATACCATATACAATGTACCTTGTTAACGTGCATATTACTTTATAAACTAATACCATATACAATGTACCTTGTTAACGTGCATATTACCTTATAAACTAATACCATATACAATGTACCTTGTTAACGTGCATATTACCTTATAAACTAATACCATATACAATGTACCTTGTTAACGTGCATATTAACTTGTACCATATATCTTGCCAACATACATATTACCTTTTAACCTTCTTCTATATATCTTATTAACGTGCATATGACCATATACCATATACCTTGTTAAAGTATATATGACCTTATAACCTTCTACCATATACCTTGTTAACGTACATATGACCTTATTACCGTCTACCATATACCTTGTTAACGTACATATGACCTTATTACCGTCTACCATATACCTTGTTAACGTACTTATTACCTTATAACATTCTACCATATACATTGTTAACGTATATATAACCTATAACCTTATACCCTATATCTTGTTAACGTAGACATTTTACCTTATACCCTATACCTTGTTAACGTACACATGACCTTATACCCTATATCTTGTTAACGTACACATTACCTTATACCCTCTACAATATACCTTGTTAAAGTACATATTACCGTAACCTTCTACCATATACCTTGTTAACCTACTTATTACCTTATAACCTTCTACCATATACCTTGTTAACGTACATATGACCTATATAATTAACGTACACATTACCTTATACCCTATACCTTGTTAACGTACACATTACCTTATACCCTAATCAAATGTTCTCGTTACGATATGGCGGAAATATTGCCGATGTGACGTTAAGTATTAACTCACTCACTCACTCCTTATACCCTATATCTTGTTAACGTACACATGACCTTATACCCTATATCTTGTTAACGTACACATTACCTTATACCCTATACCTTGTTAACGTACATACTGTTGATGTCGAGGCGAACCCTATTGATTTCAACTTCGTATAGTACACGTGGAAACCTTGTCATTATGAGTGAGTGAGTTTAGTTTTACGCCGCTTTTAGCAGTATTGCAGCAATATCACGACGAGGGACATTGAGCCCATGGTGGAATCAAGGCCCCGTCTTCGGCGTGTCGAGCGAACGCCTTAACCACTAGGCTACCCCATCGCCCCTTGTCATTATGAAATATATAGATACCTAGGTATATGGCTGAAAATATCAGTGAATTACTAAAAAGAGTGATTAATTTAAAATATCAGCTAATGTTCCATTTGTTATAGACATCACCTCTTTTAATACAAACCTTTAAGATACAAATCAAATTTAAAGGTCTATTGGTGCCCGCTATTCGGCCCATATAACATGATGAAAACCTGACAAGCGATGCATTCTAATACATCCAGGCAACATAGGTGAATATCTTCATGTCTGATTAACGTCATATCCAGAGCAGGGGGGTCTAAGCATTTGGGTGTATGGCCTTCGGTGTGAGTCGGCCTACGATCCATTCGCACATCAACGACGAGGCCAAAACAAATGATTGATAAGGACTAACGAGATATACAATGTCATGGTGGTAACGAAAGGAGCATGACTGACAATAATTAGGTGTTCATTCGCCAAAACAAATATTCCAATAGCCGATACGACCAGGGGACCAAAGCACATGGATACATTATCCATTGACTGGACAAAAGTTGCAGATTGAATCAATATATTTGAGACTAGATGCGAGAACAAAAATCGATCTCTGAACAGTTCCATTCACCCTGGGTGTCTAATAGAATCCTGGATGCAATCAGTTAACTCAACAATAATTCAGTCTTTGCATGGATGAATGTTACACCAATCATACTTACCATACTATGCTGTGCTTAGAGCCTTGGCTAATTGCTGTTTATCTATAGAATCAAAATGTCCAGAAGAGTGTGTCAACTGTTTGCATATATCCTCCAACAAGAACTGGCGGTATTCACTCCAGGTACTGAAGGGGTAATCCGATAATCGCTTCAGCTTTGCTAAATATTTTCCAGAGAGTTCTTTGTGAATTTGATAGAATGTGCAATAATTACCACTTGCACAATATATCACCACAAGATGTTAATTTCCCCACCTGTGCAGTACGCATCCAATACACGCCATGGTTAGTTCATGCCACACATGCAGCACAGCAATGAGCATGCACACGTCGACACCAGTTTCTTCTGCATTATCATCAGGAGCAAGTCACGGGTAAACATAGAACTGGGGTCATTGGGATCTCAGGTTACTACTGCAACGGGAAACTATATTTCCCAGCTCCCGTCTGCCAAGTCGGTGCATATCTTCCATCCGTTGTTCCCGGTATAGGTATCTGCCACTGACACAACTACACGCCACCATCTCACGGCGAGTGTCTGTCGCAGCATTGGTTCTAAGTCACTTGCGGCAGCAATGGAACGCTGGTTTGTTATCTTGCATCCAAACTTCCTAGTTACTCTGTCCCCACTGGCTTGCGCGTTCCTAAGAAGGGCCAAGCTTCCACTATGGCATCATTAAATCCAAAATCAATACTCACGTCGGAGAGATGTAAAAGCATAGCGCCTATTTTCCGCCAGAGCAAATGCTAAAATATGTCCACTGCCGAAAGGTGTACGATACGCCGACTTAACCTTTGGAATTTCTCTTTATCTAAAGAAGCAAATGAGCTTTCCATGGACCAAATTTGGGGTTCGGACATTGTAAGGTTTCAGATGCAACGAAACCGATACGAACCAATACTGAGAATAAAGTTTAACTTGATATTTTGTGGTATTCTGGAAGCACGCTACAGACCTTAACTTCACGCTGTAAGAGTATATCTAAAGATCGTATTTTTATTGTTTTCATTACTCTATTACCATTAAATTCTGCTAAAGGTCTCCAAACTGCCAATATCAACAATTGTACAGGTAGCAATTAATTTGTAAACTATTGGAATGCAGTAAAATGGTAACATTGCATAACTATATCAATATATTGCCCTTTAACAATTCTGTCCAACTTAATATTAAAACATATATCCATTTGCTATCAAATGAAGAAAATATGGGATTTTGATTAGCAAACATGATGACCATAAGCACTGATTTCATGATCTATCACAATGTGGGTATGTCATCAACATTGCACTTTATATTTAGCGCTAATCAATAATCCATAACTGTTTTCTTTGATCACATGATCATAAAACCTAATGGAAAATATTTCAATAAATGTTCTGAAAAGGATGATGACGGCGTGTGTAAATAGATATACTTGTTATGAGTGTTTATAACTTTGCTTTCTTTCCATTTGGCATGATGGGACGACATGGTGACGCTGACTGAAAGGGAACAACTTGTTTTGAAGAGATTTTATTACGACAGGTGTACATTTCATTGTATAATGACGAATCGCATAGCAACGACAACCCGCAGATATGGTCTGAAGTCGTATAAGTCATGTATGACTCTGATATATCTCCAGCTTACGCTCTGTGGCAGGCTTGATAATCACTCATGTTATTACCTTTCAGACAATGTGCTTCGTTACATATTTTCTGAAGATAAACAACTGGGTATAGAAATAGTATCCAGCTCTTTGGAAATTCGGCGCCTCCGTGATCATACGAGAGATGACTGAGTAGTACTGTGGACAACTATGATGACGTTCATTGATAAAGTTGATGCTAATTATTTTTCAGGATAATCACGTCTGAGGTCCACAAACAGAGTTCAACGATGATGGAGTCTCGGGTGCCAGTTGTGTATCAGGCTTCCTCCTGCTCTTGTCAAAGACCTAAACATCAATAAATGACGTCATTAACATCTCCAAAATTATTTCCAGAAAGTTTGGCTAGAAGTAGTGATATGGCGGTGTCAAATCGGATGTAGACGAAAGGTGTACAATGGGATTGAGAATTGCAGCCACGGCAACAACAGACTTGAGCACAGGTGTATTGTCCTGGTGGAACAATACACCTATAATGAGTTTATCCATGACATTCTCATGCTGCTGCTTACCCGATTAGCATAAAACTGGCCATTAATGATCTGAGGTGAGGTGAGGTGAAATTGGGTTTAACGTCGTGCTTGATAATATTTTGCTCATATGACGACGTGCATGCATGTGTATGTGTATGTGCGGCTGCTTGTACTAGCCCAGACTTAAGCTGGTTTTATAGTGCTAGCCCACTGAGATACCATGCCGCAGTGAAGCATGAATACCCCACTCAGACACATTATACTGACTCCGAGCCGACCAGTCCTTGTTGTACCCATTAATGCCGAGCCCCAGGCAGGGACCAACAAGTACCATATTTTAACGTCTTTTGGTATGACGCGGTCGGGGATCATCGAACCCGCGACCTTCCGCTCTCCGGGCGGACGCTCTAACCATTACACCACGGAGGCGGTCATTAATGATCTGACCCTTAAAGAGGATGTTCACCAGTATTATATCTTTAAAGTTTTTTCAGAAATCCGAAGCCATCAGCTTACCACCCGACGGAACAGATTTCAAAATGTCTGCCCTGCTTTGGCTGATAATGTCTTACCCAAGACTCACCCATGTCTACAAATTGCTAATACAATCCGTTCGGGTTAATTATCATGGTGTATCTTGAACGTTAACTTTTAAGAGTCCAAATCCTTGAAACTCCTTTAGCATACTAAGGCCTTGGTCACGCCCAGTTTGTTTTCAAAATATTCACAGCATGATAGATGTCTACTGTATTGCCTATGGGGCGTTTGGAGAGTCGCTATCATCCCTAATCATGTCATGTATTGTTGTATCATTTTCCTCAGTTGAAGGAATTCCTGATCTTGGATCTTCGAGGCTCTCTTCAACTCTACCGCTTGCCCTCATCAGTAGCAAAGAAAGGAGCACCATCCCCTTGAGCTGACACCGTATTGACCTGGGCGGATGTTGTCCTTACGACGGCACGGTAGCCAATGTTGTCCATTTCCATCAACAAGAATACCTAGTCTCTTTGACGCTTCTATAAACATGATGTCTCTGTGAGTATTTGTAACAGCCTGCAGGCAGAGCGCTATTTACATGCATACTGTTACGTCATGCTTTATTTACATGCATACTGTTACTTCATGCTTTATTTACATGCATACTGTTACGTCATGCTTTATTTACATGCATACTGTTACGTCATGCTTTATTTACATGCATACTGTTACGTCATACTGTTACGTCATGCTTTATTTACATGCATATACTGTTACGTCATGCATTTATTTACATGCATACTGTTACGTCATGCTTTATTTACATGCATACTGTTACGTCATGTTACGTCATTTACTGTTTCATGCTTTATTTTATTTATGCATACTGTTACTTTATTTACATGCATACTGTTACGTCATGCTTTATTTACATGCATACTGTTACGTCATGCTTTATTTACATGCATACTGTTACGTCATGCTTTATTTACATGCATACTGTTACGTCATGCTTTATTTACATGCATACTGTTACGTCATGCTTTATTTACATGCATACTGTTACGTCATGCTTTATTTACATGCATACTGTTACGTCATGCTTTATTTACATGCATACTGCATACTGTTACGTCATGCTTTATTTACATGCATATTGTTACGTCATGCTTTATTTACATGCATACTGTTACTTCATGCTTTATTTACATGCATACTGTTACTTGATGCTTTATTTACATGCATACTGTTACTTCATGCTTTATTTACATGCATACTGTTACTTCATGCTTTATTTACATGCATACTGTTACTTATGCTTTACATGCATACTGTTACTTCATGCTTTATTTACATGCATACTGTTACATGCTTTATTTACACGCATGCTGTTACTTGATGCTTTATTTACATGCATACTGTTACTTCATGCTTTATTTACATGCATACTGTTACTTCATGCTTTATTTACATGCATACTGTTACTTCATGCTTTATTTACATGCATACTGTTACTTCATGCTTTATTTACATGCATACTGTTACGTCATGCTTTATTTACATGCATACTGTTACGTCATGCTTTATTTACATGCATACTGTTACTTCATGCTTATGCTCAGAATGTTTCGGCCACCCTCAAAATAACTCGTCAGGTGATGACAAGTGAGCCTTTGCAAACAAAATACAATGTTGGAACTTGGTCAAAGTATAGGTATCAAGAATGATCAAAAAAAAGAAAGTAGCATAAAGCAAATAAATGTTCATAGGTTGTAATAAACAAGCTAGGAAAAAAAGTTAATAATCTTAAAACGGAAAGACTACAAGACCACGATACGTTGTTGTAGGTGTATCTTCTCTCAACATAAAATCAGTGTCAAGCAAGAAATCGCTTGATTGTAAAGCAACGGAAATGGTTTAACAAGCATGTTTGCATATGTGTATGTGTTGTGTGTAGCTATGTGTTTCAGCTCTATTGTCCTCATGTAACTTCCATGTACCCAGGGCGGCGGGGTGGCCTTGTGGTTAAAGCGTTCACTCGACACGCCGACGACACGGGTTCGATTCACCACATGGGTACAATGTGTGAAGCCCATTTCTGGTCTCCCTGGCCGTGATATTGCTGGAATATTGCTAAAGGCGGCGTAAAACCATATTCACTCATTCACTCCGTGTACATATGTATAAATCAGGTCTGTTGTAGATCCGTGCATGTGTGTTGCGTCATAACGCGTGTATTTATCTTGTGTCCTTCACGTATGTGTGTGTATGTGTTGTCTGTTTACAAATTAAAGCTATAGATTAGCCCAGAAATATGTACGCAAAGGAATTCGATATAAAACTAAAACCCCATAAATACGTCCTGCAATTCTAAATTATATTTTCAAATTAAATCGATTTACAATTTACTGCAAAACATAGCACTACCAAACTATGTGGAACACAGCATTTCGGAATAAATTCTTATTCCTTCATCATTTCACAATTTACTGCAAACCATGGCACTCCCAAACTATGGGGGACACAGCTTTTCGGAATAAATTCTTATCGTTGCCTGTATGATAATAGAGAAAATGATATGCGTATATTTCTCCCTTGTGTATCACTTCAAAATGCCACGCTAAGACTAATCTTCTATATTCTAATAGCAATATAAAATATAGCAGCAGTGGTAAGAGCTATAACGTCAGTGATAATATCATTCACAGAGAAGTGACAGTGGGGAAGCCTCCAAAATAGGCTCAGGATGGATACCTATGGTGAAAATAATTATCTGCAAACAACTGCATAGAAATTATGTTCTATGCTGAATTAGTCAAAGCGCCTTTGAGCAGTTGTACTGGATATCGGCGCTATACAAATGTTTGTATGTATGTAGTCTGCAGTTGTCCTTCAAGATTCTTCAAAATATGTAGCTTTGATACATCACCGCTTTCCATTTGATAATACATCCCCGACAAGTAATTACAGCCAACATACCATGTTATGAACTACTGAAT